GTTATTATAATCAATTAAATTATTTTATTATTTCAATTGTTTAATTTAATTGATTGAAATAATGTCACTTCTTCATTCCTCTCCCTTTCGTTTCCTTAAATCAAACATGTTAATGAAATGTGAGTCTGATGCTCTCTAGTTGCATATTGGGTGATCAAAATCAAATCTTTATTAGGAGTATATAATCGCCTTTAATTTTACACGTCTCATCCAATTACACAACTGGGGTCTTCATATATAAATACTGAAAACTATATTTTACTTGTTTAGTAACTGAATGGTGATAAAAGATTTGATCAAAGAGAGGTCGTTTTCTATAAAATAAAGTGTTTAGGGCCTTTCTGTTGACTAGGAGTAGTGCGAAATCTTATACAGTTATACCAACTCAAAATTTGGTCAGGTTTAAATACGATCGTGACAAGCATTAATGCCTAACAACTCCTTTTTTGTATTTTCATCGATCAAAGCCCAACAACTCTTGAATTGGCCATCGCAGATGGCATGATTAATTCTTAGTTTGAGGGGAAGGCATATTAACTTGTTTTTTCTTTTTTCTTTTTTTTTTTCCTTCTTATTAACCTGTTTATCTGTGTCTTTCGCAAAATAATTATCGTTGTTTTTTTCATTGAAAATATATTATTTCAAATTAAATGTAACTTTTTAATTTGAGTTGGGTATTAATAAGGATGGTTAGGTTAGAGAGATGGGGGATTGGGAGGGAGACAATTGGAGGTGGAGGTTGGATTGGAGAAGGGGGATCAAGAATGGGTATACAGAATTAGGTGGTTCAGTGAGGCGGAGGTATTCTGGAAGTTGTTGGAAACAGTGCATCTAAAGGAGGCTAAGGATGATAGGTGGAGGGGATACATGATAGAGAAGAGCTTTATACAGTTAAGAAAGCTTATGAATTTTTAACACTTACTGAATGTATTCTTAATAAGAGGAATTTTTTTTTTTTTTTATACATTACAAGAATAATTGTTTGGTATCACTTATATTTGAATTTCTGCAGAAAAGAGAGGTGGAGTTGCAAGGAGAGGAGGTGGGATCCGGACTGTGTAATGGGGTCATAGAGCAGAGAAAATAATCATCTATTTTGCACATGTTAGGAGAGGCTTGGCTTGTTTGGATGAAGTTGTTGAAGTGGTGGGGTTTGGAGTGGGCATTGCCGAATACTGTCAAAGGAATGGCTGACTATTTCATGTATGGTTTGGGTAAGAAAACAGGGAAAGAGATGGGGTCTTGTATATTTCTGGTGGTGTTTTGGTTTCTATGGTACTAGAAAAATTTTAACAGTTTTTAAAAATGAAGGTCACTTCGGAGAAAAACTGTTGTATACTGTACAAGCCAGATCATTTGTATGGATTAAAGGCAAGGACTAAGAAGGTTGGATGTGGTTTTTAGTTCCAGGAGTGGATTCTAAGGCCGGCGGAGTGTGGTGCTGCTGTTAAAATGGATAAGCATCATTTGAAGCAATATCGCAAGCAACAAAAGGGGACAAGCTTAAACGTAGTATGAGACATTGTTATGTGTTTTGTTGGATTGGAAAATGCTTGCGTTTTTAATGGGTGCCGTTTTGATGGTTAAGGGCTGTCTAATTTTTTAGTTTGGTTTTCTTTGAAAATTCTATCTTTAAATAGATAAGAGCATTTTTTTATACTCATTATAATGAAATTTATTTTTTATTAATAAAAAATTATATCCTTTTCATTTTAAAAATAAATAACTAATTTTTTACTCTAATTTTATTAATTATCAATATCTCATTCATGGCATATGACTCTTATTAAGAAAAATAATTTTTCTCAAAGAAAATCTTAAAAAAGATATCGTGATGTACCTTTTATTAGTTTTTTTGAAA